TTAATTCATAATTCAAGTATACTAAAGTACATTGTTTTACAAGAACAAAGGTTTGATTCAAAACTAATCAAGGGTATACATCTTTCAGATACATGTTAAGAATACTAATTCAAGAACATACTGTCAATCATTTATTTCAGAATGATTGGGTTTTCATAACTATTATACATGTAACGTTTATATGCTTTTTATGAGTCATTTGATACAGGTTGTTTAATTCATTTAAACAATATAGTTAAAGTCCTATCGAAACAATGTGTGTATAGATCTATATTGGGATTGACAACCCCGCACTCAGACTGCTAGCTACAGTCAGGCATACACGCCTACGAGTGACAGTTGTTATCAACAGCTTACAACGCATTCATAGCGTTGGGTCAGGCCATCTAGTCAGTATGGTTATAAAAACTCATTAAAAAGATATTAACAATACGTTAGTGTATAATTAACTAAACTTAAGTACATTTCCAAAGTACTAGTTTTACAAGATACAATTTACAGTATTACATTACAGTTTACAATAACAGTTGGTGGAACCAGGCACACTCACAGATACAAGTTTTACATAAAGGAATACAAATACAAAACATTGGTTTACAAATAGAACGATTTTATGAGATTAAAACTACTTTCATATATACAGCAGAAAATAAAGGATTTTCTGGAACAGTATACATATTCAAGAAACAGAAACATACTTTCAAACATAAATACTTATGCACTCACTCAACTTTATGTTGATACTCTCTTTTCAAATTACTTGTATTTCTCAGGAAACCGGTAGACAGGTACTTCCCGAGCTTTTGAGAAGATCGAGCTATTTTGAGTCTTGTCTTCTTCTTTTGTATAACTATTTGGTTTCAGTATACAATGATGAAACACATGTAAATACTTATACTTTTTAAATACGGTGGTTGTTTGTACTCTGATTACTATAATGCATGTGTTGTGATACCACAAATGAAGTCATCCCCCCGGACGTTTCCGTCGTCTGGTTTGGGGGTGTGACAGTTTTGATCTCTATCAACACATGCATTATCAACATTAATATTTTTGATTTTAAGAAGAAACTTGAGGTTTTTTTTTGGATAAAGATATATATATATATATATATATATATATATATATATATATATATATAT